GGGGTTTCCGGACTACGGAGTGTGGGGGAGAAGCACATATTCTTTTCACAGGATAGTTGGGGCAATATGACACACCCCAACTGGAAAAAAAATACCACCAGGGTTCTCACCCCAGGCACCAGGTACCTGAAATTATTCAGCGACTGATCGTGTCTCTGCAGAGAATATTCACGAGGTGGTGGAGTTGAGCCCTTGGCATAGCTGTAGTGGTGGGGAGCAGGTGCTGCTGCCAGAACCTTGGATTGGCAGGTGTTTGGCCCGCCTGCCTCCTAGGGGCTAAGCTTTGGTGTTCTTAAAGCAAGCGTTATAATGTTCCAGCTATGGGCAGGGGTGGAAGGATGTGGAGCAGCCCCTTGCTGAATCTGATTTGGGTAACCACTACCAGTCCCAGCCCCACTGGAGAGTGAAAAAGCTTCAGTGCCCTGGGCTCACCTTGAAGAAAGCCACCTGTGAGGAAAGAAGGGTAAAGGAGAGGGGGGTGAGCATCCCCAGCATGACTGCCCAATGCTCTATGGGCACAGCCTGGTTCTCCTGATGAAAGATCAACCCCAATACCTATGCTTCTCACACTCTCATTTCCCCTTCCCAGTTCCTTCACACTCTCATTTCCCCTTCCCGGTCACATCAGGATCCCTCCCCCTTCCCTGCAGCCTCATCAGCTCTCACACCCTCATTTCCCCTTCCCAGTTCCTTCACACTCTCATTTCCCCTTCCCGGTCACATCAGGATCCCTCCCCCTTCCCTGCAGTCTCATCAGCTCTCACACCACCTACCCTGGTATCTCCTGACTGCCCAGTTCCCCCTGCCTGTCCCTTCCCCTGTCCCTCTCACTTGAGTGATCAGCAAGGGGTGATATTTATGTAACTCAAATTCTGTTTCCTGGGGTATCTCAATAATCCAAAACTCTTTCGGATTTGATCAAGACTTTGCTTGCAAGAGAAAATACTCTTCGTGTCTGCCACTTCATGTGGTCCTACAAATTCTACTTCCCCATTATTCTTGATTTCTCTAGGGATGAGTTTTTTTTGGAGGGGTTAGGGTGGAGGATTAAAACTGGGGCCTCATACTCAAGAGACCTCTCCTTCTGGACTATATTCCCAGCTCTCTCCATCCTTTAAATAAGGCACGTCCCTCTTTAATTTCTCAGCAGGAATAATGAGCGAGAGTTGGCGTATATTCTTTTCACAGGATACTTGGGGTTAAATATGACACACGGCCTTGCTATGTGGAATCCACATTTCTCACTTGTGAATATCATCTCTTTTGCAAAGCAGCAACAGGAATTGGGTCGAGGAAGAAGTCAATGGTGGCTTATACCCTTTCCAAGTCTCTGTTATGTTTTGGTTTTTTTGTTGTTGTTGTTGTTTTGTTTTGTTTTGTTTTGGCCCCGTCCGGTTTAAATAGTAAAAATTCACAGATTTTTCCGGGCTCACCCCAGAGCAGCGAATACAATTTTTTCCTCGTTAAGTATCTCTAGTTACCCAAGCACACAAATTGCTTTCTCATTCCTAATTCCCAGCTCCTCGCTTATGTAACGGACCAGTGGGACGCCTTGGGCGGCAGATCCCCCCCGCCCCCCTTTAAGAATGATATGTATAGTCTATGAGCAACGAATGACAGGTAGCGATGACCGCGCGATCAGCTGATTCAAGGGTTTCGCCCGAATTCCAGCTCGTTTTTTCCGGTGACTCAGGTGCCCTGCCCGAGCGCAGTCCACCCTCCGGCCCCGGAGCGGGGCCCGGGTCGCTGCGCGCCGCCGCGTGGGTGCGAGGCCGCGCGCTGATTGGCCCCCACGCCGGCCGGACCCGCCCCCGACCGCAGCCCCGCCCCGCGCGCCGCGGGCGCTCACCCCAGTCGCTGACAGCGCAGCAGCGTGGGGAGCACCGCGTCCCGGAGCGCAGGTAAACATCGAGGCAGCCCCGAGACTCCCCGTGGGGACGTGGGGGGAGCCGGGGCGCCGCGACGCGCGGGGACGCACGGTAGGGGGGGCCCGGGGTGCTTCTCCCCGGCGCGGGGTGCGGGGGGGGGGGTTCGGTCCCCGGGGGCTCGTGCGTTTAGTGGGGGATGCCGCCCCGCACGGCCTGTGTCGGCTGGGAGAACGCCCGGGGTCGGCGCTGGGGCGGGGACCGCCGCTCGGGTCCCGGGGAGGGTCGTCGGGAGCACCCCGCAGTCTGTTCGCTCGCCCCCCCCACCGCCCCGGTAAACAGGCGCGCGCGTGCCCACCGCGGCCTTAGCGGGGGCGCGGGGCGCGTCTGCGACGGGGCTGGAGGGGCCCACCAAGAAGGGGCGCCCGGGCGCGGCGGGGGTCCCGGCTCTCCAGCAGACCAGCGGCCCCTGGGGACAGGCCTGCGCCCCCCGGGGCCCAGCCCGCCTCTCCCAGTGCTCAGGGCAGCCGGCTGTGCGGGGAGGAGGTCCGCGGGGCGAGCGATCGCCACGGCCCCCGGGCCTTGGCCGGCGGAGGAGAGATCACGGGGCTCTAGGGGGTGCGGGGGAGGGGAGAGAGGGGGCCTCCGGGGAGGCTGCCCCGCCCGCCGGCCCCGCGCGCGCCCCGGAGGCCCCAGGGGAGGCCGCCGCCGCCCGCGCCACCCACAGCCCCCGGGGGTACCGCGCGCCCCGGGGGCGGCGGGGGCGTCCAGGCGCAGAGACGTCCCCGCGGGCTGCTGGTGGGGCGGACCCGCAGACTTCCCAGTTTCTTTTCCTTACCTGTCCCTGGCCGGGGGAGCAACTCAGCTCCAAGGAGGAGTGGGAAGGGAGGATTCCGGGGGCATCTTCCGTTTTTTGGACCACCAACAATGGATTAGAAATGCATTTTTTTTTTTACTGTTCTTGTTGGTTGTTCTTTTACATAGTATTTTGTTTGAATTACACTGATCGAGGGAAGTTGACGCTGTGGTCGGTCGTGGGACGGGTTTTGAAATATTCTGTGCCTAAATTTCAGTCATCAGTGACTTTGTCAATCACGGTTCTTTGAATTTCACAGTTTTTTTTTTTTTAAGTAGAATGAAATTGATGGCCTACCCCCCGTCATATCCAGCACTGCCCCGCTTGAAAGGCTCTGTACCTGGTTTTCGGTTTCCTCACCTGCGGGTTTATACCCGACCCAGAGCTTGCTTGCGGTTTCACGCGAGGTGCGGGGCTAGCTTCCCGGTTGCGTGGTTTTCTTGTTCTTTTCTTGCACTTTGAGCTGTCGGGTTTAATGGGAAGTTTCCCACGTGCTCAACCTTTGAGGGGGGTTCCAGAAAAGGCCAGGTGGAGTAGGGTGAAAGACCTTTACAGATCAAATTGAGAGGGGCGGGGGGACACGCACAAAATTGAATTTTAAAAATTCAGACCTCTGAAAAATGAACCTCACTCTCATATTTGTAGAAGAAAGCAAATCATGGACGAGAATGAACCATTTGTGTTTACCTACACAATGAGCAACTCCTAACAATGAAAAAGAACTCAGCAGAAAGGGAAAGAAAGCAAATGGAATTTGTTTATTATTTGTCTCTGACACCAATTTTTCACACTTGTGAAAGAAAAACATCAAGATTATCATAATAGAGGAAGGACTCGTGAAATTATGATGAATCATTAACTTAATAAAATGCCAAGGAGAGCAAGTTTGGATTCCTTTTTTTTTTTTAAGTTTAGATTCTTATTTTACATCTTGTTAAAGTGACCTGCTTTGTGACTCAGTATTGAGGACAGGCCTCACTTGTGTGCGGCCCTGGGTTTGAGCCTTGGCAATTGAAAGAGGAAAAGAATTCAATGAACAAAAGCAACATTTATAGTCCCAGCAACCCCTGTGGGAAGGGGACAGAGCTTTGGGGTTAGAAATAGCTCTGCAACTATTTCTAAATTGGACCTTTCCCCTGATTTGCTAGTCTTCCTTTTGTCCCTTAAAATACAGGAAATACCTATTTCCACAGTGCCGTCTACACCACTGGCCCTTGACATGGATATATACTTTGTTCTTTTCCTGCTTGTACCATTCTGGGGACATTATGCCTCAATCCCAGCTCTTTGTAAAGCCGTACTGCTGATGCATTTGGAAATTCAAAGCTGTGACCCAGAAACCTCACTCCTAGGAATTTACCTGCTACCAAAGAAGCGAGAAAGAGAGATGGAGACCGAGAGCCATATGCAGGCACATATTCAGGGCAGAATGATCTAAAATTAGAATCAACTGGGAAACAACCTAAATGAATAACAGCGGGCACTAGCAAGGAAAACCATGGCATAGCATGACAGAAGCATTATGTAACCATTCCAAGTTATTTGGTGGCCTATGCTATAAACTGACAGGTCGAAATTAAGGTTATCAGATTGTATCTCCATATAACACAATGCATAGATTAAAAACCTGAAAGGAAATGCTTAACAGTGAAAGTTTTCATGCAATGTGTAGGTGGTATAATGTCCTTAAGTAGAGAGAGAGTAAGAGGGAAACTGTCTGCCATAGAGGCTGAAGGAGGGGTGAAAGAGGGCTGGGTAGGGGTGGGTAGGGATACTAGGGGCATTGGTGGTGGAAAATGTACACTGGTGGAGGGATGGATGTTTGATCATCATATGAACCGAAACTCAAACATGAAAGCTTTGTAAGTGTAACTCACGGTGATTCAGTTAAAAAAAAAAAAGTGTAGGTGGTTTTGATCTTGGGTCATACGTTTTCCTAAACATTCTTTAAACTGTTTACAGGGCTCTACTTTTTTTATTTTTTTTTCCCCAATCAATGGGCCCTCCATATTAGGGACTTGAAAGGGAAATTTTCATGTCGAGTCTGCTTTGTCAGCCAAACTTATTTTTCCCAAATATTTTTTTCTTGAATGGGTTTCTTTAAGGGTTTAGCTATTTATATAGTAGATTTTTGTCCTTTTAAGAACCGTTAATTTATTAATTCTCGTGTTGTCTTTCTATTTTATTGCTGCTATTAAGAATTCCTGAATCAGTTTGAAAGCAAAGCCGTTTCTGCCAAGCCAGAGCAGTCTCCCTTTACCGAGGCACAAATCCAGCTTAGCTAAGCCGCCACAGACGTAAGTACCCAGTAGAATTTCTGATCTTGTGGTTGATGCTTCAAAGTCACCAACTGCCACAGTAAGTCGGAGGCTCTCTGGAGGGGTGGTGGTCACAAGCCTTTGCTCTGGGGGCCCTTAGGTCTTGGCATGTCACTCACACCGCATGCGTCGTCCTTTCTTGTATAACACCAGCTGGGTTTTGCAGCAAAAAGACCACAGCTCTTCCTCTCCTCGGGCTAAATTATGTAAGGGAGGAACCATTTTAAAATATGTACAAAAACAACATACAAGCTGTTTCTGCCCCCAGCTTAACCCTGAAAGGGACAGTCCACCAACTGACTGAAGATGCCTGCCCAGGGAAGGGTTTTCTAAACTGAAGTTTTCATTTACCTGTTCCCATCCTCCCTTGGGGGATCTTATTTCCCCTTTGAAGGCTGTGAACTGCTACATATTTAAACATTCGGAATGTGCTGGTGTCTAATCCTTTGAGCATGGTAAGGTAATCCTGTGTGTGTGTGTGTGTGTGTGTGTGTGTGTGTGTGTGTGTGGTGTGTTGGGGGGGGCTCACATCCAGCGATGCTCAGGAATTACCCTTGGCAGTGCTGGGGGGACAATAGGGGATGCGAGGGATGAAACCCGTGTCCGCTGCCTGCAAGGCAAGCGCACTACCCACTGTACTCTCCAGCCCCACCACAGTAATCCTTGAGTGAGTGAATAGTCCCAGTAGCAGTTATAAACAGGAGAATTTTTTTTTTTGTTTTCATTTTTTTCATCCTGGTGTTCTCCTGTTCTTCTTGTGATTATTGCAGTCGTGTGTTTACTGCCAGGGACGTGCAGGCTTTGGGGAAAGTGCTGTTGGTGCTGTGGAGCGCTGCACCTGACGTGTTCTGCAGCTGGGCTTGGGCACAGTTCCTCTGGAAGCTGGTAGGCACACTCAGGAGAGATTGTGCCAATTCAGTCAGCTTAATCAATGGCTGAACAAATAGCAGTACTCCTACGTCATTTTAAAAAAAATAAAAAAAATAAAGAGATTGTGGGGGTGGTTCCGACACAGCAGTAACGGGGATGCGGCCATAAGGGAAGGCTATCCGCAGTGTGCTGCTATGTTTACATGGCGTGGCCTGCTGGTTCCTTCACTACGCTGCTGTCTGGAAAGAACCCCATGCTCACCTTCCAGAAACGGGCTGCAGAGACACCCAGCGAGTGCGTGCCTCGGGGAAAATGGAGCTCACAGACGAGCTTGTGCAGGGTGCCTGGTAAAGGTAAAGGTAAAGGCCCTCCCGTTGATCGTCGATTTGCTCGAGCGGGCCCAGTAACGTCTCCATTGGAGACTTTTGTTGTTACTGTGTCTGGCATATCGAATACTCTCGGTAGCTTGCCGGGCTCTCCGAGAGGGGCGGAGGAATCGAACTCGGGTCGGCCATGTTGGCCGCGTGTAAGGCGAACGCCCTACCCGCTGTGCTATCGCTCCAGCCCTAGGGTGCCTGCAAGCCCTCAATTTGTTAAAAGAATCCTAAGAGAATCCTCAGGGTCTGCCCAGGGCACTCAAACAAAGCGCACCCACCTGTAAAGGTTCTTCTTTAGACGCTCCCAAGCTGTTCTCCTTGGATAGTGTATAGAAGTGTTGCTCTTTTTTTTCTTTTTTTTTTTTTTGGATGGGAGCTCAAGGGGGTTGAATGGCCAGGAGATCATTCCTGGTGGGACTATGGGGGACCCTCCCTATGTGGTACTAGGGATGAAGCCTGGGTCAGCAGCAAGCAAGGCCAGAAAGCAAGTGCCCTGGTCATGTGCTATCCCTCTGGCAATGTTGCTCTTAAGAAGTCCTCCAGTGAGCCAGGAGAGTGGCTCAGAGGAATATCATGTACCTGGTGTATGTGAGCCCTGGGTTATATCCACAAAAATATTATTTCATATTAATAAGTTAAGTAACAACTTTCCAAGTAATACAACCAAATGGCTTAGAGGCCCTTTGCCCTATTAGTTCAGGGGTAGACATGAAAACCAGGAGACCCATGAAAACCACCACCCCAAAATGTTCTTGCAAAATTTTGCATAGTTTGTATCAGATTCTATAAGGGGTAATAACTTCAAAAAGATTGCAGATGATGAGTTCTGCTTAACTCAAGCAAAGGCAAGAAATGTCTTTTAGGAGGTGGAGAAGGACAAGGAAGCTATGTGATGACACTCCCCCAACCCCCTATGACTGGTGATCAAGTTCCTGACAGCTTGGACTCCCAGAATTCATGTATCAATGGGAATAGTTTGGATGGGGTCATCTGTGGATGTTTCCTCCTCTCTACTAGAATAATGCTCTGACCTTCTGCTCATGCATTCAAGCACACGATCTTATTTATTATAACTTTACAGCAGTCCAATAAATGACAGGTCAAATATACCCTGGAATGTCTTTTGAAATTTCTTTTTTGTTGTTGTTTTATTTTGCTTTTGTTTGTTTTTTAAGTTTCTTAAATCACCTTAATTTTTAGGATCATTTCATCATGTTCTTTAAAAATCTTCTTTGAATTATGATTGTAATTCTTTTGACTTTATGAATTTTGGCAGGGGTGGATCATTCAGCATTGATTTTCTCAAAATTGTGTACCTCTTTCTCTTTTTTCTAGTCATCCCTTTCTCCGCAACATTTAACAGTTTTTCTATTTTAGGTTAAATGCTAGATATTTGGGGGTTGGTTTTTTGTTTGTTTCCCTGTTTGAGTAGATTTTTTTTTCCACACCAGATTATCTAAATAATTAAAATTGATTTAGAAACTCATTGGTTTTTTTCATATTATCAATTTAGAAAACAGCCACTCTACTGAGTTTATTTATTTATTCGAAAACTTTTTGAAGGATGATTTTTCTGGCTTTTCCAGGTTGAAAACAAGACCTGACTATTACTTCTAGAACAACCTAAAATGACAGTGATGGCTTACATTCTTGTCTTGTTCACTATATTAATGGGACACCTCGGGCTGGAGAGCTAGTACAGCAAGGTTAGTAGTTAAGGAGTTAAGGTACTTGGCTTACATGCACCTGACCCAGGGTCAATCCCTGGCACCCCTTATCATTCCCCGAACTTCTCCAGCAGTGATTCCTGAGTACAGAGCCAGGAGTAAGTCTTGAGCACCCACCAGCTGTGCCCTCCCTCCCCCTCCACACACACACACACACACACACACACACACACACACACACACACACACACACGGAGATACCTTTCCTTTTTTATTCAAGAGAGGATGGGAAGGATCAGGGAGGTGGCTCAGTGTAGAGCATTATTTTTTGCCTTGCTTGTGTGAAGCCCCTGGTTCCCCACACCTGGGGGGGGGGGTGCTGTCAGGAGAAAGATGTGATAGCAATCTTTTGTGATTGTGATAGCACTGTAGCACTGATCTCCCATTGTTCATCAATTTGCTCAAGTGGGCCCAGTAATGTCTCCATTGTGAGACTTGTTGTTACTGGGTTTAGCTTATCAAATACGCCCTGGGGAGCTTTCCAGGCTTTGCGTGCGGGCGAGATACTCTCAGTAGCTTGCCGGGCTCTCTGAGAGGGGCGGTGGAATTGAACCCTGGTCAGCTGGGCCGGCTGCGTGCAAAGCAAATGCCCTACCACTGTGCTATCGCTCCGGCACATAAAACATAGCAGTCTTTTATCATTTGTGATAGCAATTCTAGTGCTTTAAAAATGAGGAAAGGATGTCTGTTTAATTAAAAAACTTGCCAACCTCTGCCAGGAAGCCTTTTTTTTTATCCCCCTTAATGGTGTTCCTCATTTTTCTTTGCTTCTTTGTCTATTGTTTTGGGACCACACCCAGAGGTGCTTAGCACTTACTCCTGGCTCTGAGCTCAGCAATTACTCCTGGTAGACCCATGGGCACCAGCCTGCTGCACCGTCTCTCTATCCCCATAGAATTCCTGATTTTGAACCATCTTTTTATTTCTTAGCACGTGTTCTTCTTTTACTAACCCACTAGTATTTCCTGTTGGATGTGGGTACCTGAGTTTTGTTGGGTGGCTTCCTTGACCCACACATGAGGATGCCCGAATGTTGCTCTGTTAATGTCCAGATTTATTTGTTTGTTTGACATGTGGGACCCTCCCTGCAATTCTCAGCCAACCCTGCCACTGATTACTGTGAGGGTTTTAAGATGCTGTAGCGGTTCACTCAGTCCCGCAATGCTGTCCATGACCCGGCCACCCTGGCAGTGCTCAAAGTCTCCAGGGCTGCACCCAGCAATACTCGGTAACCATGTGGTGCCAGGGCTTGAACCAGGCTTGGCCACATGCCAGGCATGCGTACTGACTGCTCTGCTCTCTCTCCAGCCCCATACTTGCTTTTTAGGTTTGTTTGCTTTTCAGTTTGGGGTTTTCCGGTTTTGTTTTGTTTTGTTTTTATTTGCTTTCTTTTTGAGGCCACAATTGGAGATTCTCAAGGCTGCTCCCAGCACAACACTCAAGAATCACTCTTTGACAGTGCTTGGGGGACACCAGAAGGGGTGATGAGGATGAAACCCAGTCAGCTCCCTGCCAGGCAAGAGCCTCGCCTCCTGTACTGCCTCTCCAGCCCACTCTTAATTGTTTCATCCTGCAAGATTCCAACCCCCCGGGATAATGGTGGCAGCCCCCACACCATTTTCTTTCAGTCATTTCCTAACTACCATTTGTTCTCCTTGCTTCCTTAAATTTTCCTCTTTACACAAAAGTCAGGAAGAGCTCTGTTTAAAATAAATAAAGCAGGAGGACAGACCAGAGTGGTAGTACAGCAGGTAGCGTGCTTGCCTTGCACATGGCTGGCCTAGGTTCAATCCCCAGCACCCCACAGGGTCCCCTCAGCCCTGCCAGGCGTGGTCTCTGAGCAGAGCGCCAAGAGTAAGCCCTGAGCACCGCCAGTGTGGGCCAAAAACAAAAACAAAAAGGCAGTTTTTTATAAAGTGATTCCCCTATGATCGTGTTCAGAGTGAAATGAAAGCATTCTCTCTGCATGAGCACGCTGCTCTGCCCACTCCAGCCTCATCCTGCC